CAGGCGGAGCGCCCTGCCTTCCTCAGCCCACGAGGGGTCCGCGCGGCGGAGTCGCCAACCCCGGCTTGCGGCAGCGGGCCCTGCCTCTCCCCAGTCACCGGCTCGCGGAGCTCCGCTCGCACGAGGGCGCCTGGACTTCCGGGGGGACACCTGGGGCTGGCGAGGCCCGTGGCCCAGGGCAGCCGGCCGGGGTTCTCCGCTTCTCCGCGAGAGCCCGTCTTCTCTGTCTGACCCTGCTCGGTGCCGTGCAGGAAAGCCCTCTCCCGCCCGACCTGGCCCTCTCCGCGCTGCGTGTGCAGCCCAGGCCTAGCGCACGCCGCGCCTCTACCCCCAGCCACGTGCCAGCTGTTTGCTTGCTGTTTGTGGGAGACCGGGCCTCGCTGGGCTCGATTTTGCAATCCTCCTACCGCAGCCTGGGATTCCAGGCATGCACCCCCACCGGGCAGCAAGGATAAATAGAAAGAGGGAAACGTTAAAGTAGACCCTCCCATTTCCTGGCCTCGAGGCCCCTGGCATCTGATCGCACAGCCCGGTTGACCTTTATGAGCGCCCACGAAATCTGACCCAGGCACAGCCTGTTCTCCAGAGTGTCCAGGAGGTCATCTGAGAATGCGAAGGCCCTGAAATTTAAATGAGCGGTCCCGCCTCAGTCCCGTCTTCCTTACGGTGAAAACTGAAGCTCTTTTCAGGTCCCAAAGGCCCTAAGCACCCTGGCCCCTGCCACTCCCTGCCTGTGGCCGTGGGGCCCTCCTTGCTGCCCCCTGAACACGCCGGACACACATTTGCACTTGCCGAGTCTACCCACCTTTCTGGAAATGCCACCTTACCCGAGGCTGGCCCGGAGCACCCCGGGTGAAACACGTTCCCCAGTCGCTGTGCGTTGGCCTCCTAGGTTGTTCTAGCACAGATCATGACCTGACCCGTTACTCGTTTCTGTGTACTTATATGTGGTTTGTTTTCCCAACAGAAAAGAGTTTTGTTTTGTTTTGCCAGTGCCCCAGACTGGAACTGTGCACATGATCGGCTCACACTCTACTGGGCTACACCTCCAGCTCTTTTTATTTATTTTTGAGACCGGACCTTCTGTGTGCTCCTCCTGACTCAGCCTCCCAAGCAGCTGAGATTATAGGAGTGTGCCACTAGAACAGAGAACTTATCAACTTATCAGGTAGCAGAACAGAGAACTTATCTTTTTTTTTTTTTGGTCTTTTTGAGACAGGGTCTCTTTATGCAGTTCAGGCTGGCCTTGAGCTCACTTTGTAGCCCAGGATGGCCTCAAACTCACAACGATCCTACTGCCTCAGCCTCCTGAGTGCTGGGATTACAGGTGTGTGCCACCACGCCCGGCAACAAGAACTTATCAGTTGTGCCCAGTTTCCAATATCTAGAAAGCAGTCGACACTAGTATTCAAGAAATTTGTGCAGTTACCGAATGAATGTGCCAGGCACCAAGTCAAGCACCGAGACAGGCTGTGAGCGAGCCTGGGCTGTTGCCCTTGGAGAACAGACCAGCAGACAGGCCAGTAGCTACAAACCAGGACCAGGAGGGTTGTGTCTAAATAGAGACGTGTACCAAATACACACGAAGGGTCAAGGGAGGAGGTAAAGCGCTCTGCCTGGAAATAAGAGGACAGCAGGCGGGCAAAGTCACAGGGTGGAGATGAAGGGAAAGGGCAGTCCAAGCAGAGGGGGTGGCACAGGCAAGGTGGCACTAGCTGCCGTGTCCAAAGAGGGCCAAGTGGGCGGGCTGCACCGGAGCCGGGGACACAGGGCGGGAGCGCGGTTTGGACAGACAGGCTGGGGTCATATTAGGAAGCGGCTTACTGGGAGGGGGAAACACCGACTCCCTAAATTTCAGATCCGTGCCAGGCCACTGGAAGCGTTTGGGGTCCAGAGCCCGCCTCTAACCCCAGAAAAGGCGCTGTAGGAGCAGCCCCATCCTCGCGCTGGGTGGTGTCGCAGGCGGCCATGCGGGGCCGCGAGGGTGTGGCTGCCCTGCTTGGCTTTCTCGTGCTTAATGCCCTCCCCGCGGATCCTGCCCAGCTCAGGGCAGGAGAGAGCCGGCCTCCCACCGCTGCGGCCTCCAGCCTGAAGAATCCAAGTTTCAAAAAGTCCTTATTTTGCAGTCTGCCTCCAAAGGGTGGGGAGTGGAAAATCTACAGACAGCAGCCACCAAGGGACTTGGGCTTAATATAACTGGTGACCTGGGAAACGACAGAGGCAGAAAATAAATTCCACCTCGGGCTGTGGAATGGAGACGGCCTTTCCCAGCTGAGTCAAAATAATAAAGCCTTCCTTCAGGAGGAGGGCGTGTCTGTCCACTTCCCGGGCCTTTTCTCTCACTTCCGCTCTTCCTCTGCTGTTGGCTTGCTCCTCGCTCCCCTCACCTTCCCCGCCCATCTCGGCTCTCCACCCTCCCCTGTGAGCTTTTCCTTTTTTCTCTCCTTCCCTATTTTGTCCACCCCGCTTCCCTTGTTTTTTCCCCGCCATCCTCTGCTCTCCATCCTTCAGCTTAAGCACTAGACAGACATTTTAAGTTGCTGAAGACTTATTAATCTTGTTTTGTTTTGTCTTTTTTTTTTTTTTTCCGGTACCGGGGATAGAACTGACGACCTTGGGCTTGCCGGGCAGGTGCTGTGCCGCTGAGTGTTTTGTCTTTTTGAGACAGGGTCTCGCTATGCAGTTCAGGCTTGCCTTGAACTCACTCTGTAGCCCAGGCTGGTCTCGAACTCACAACGATCCTCCTGCCTCAGCCTCCTGAGTGCTGGGATTACAGAGGTGCGCCACCACACTCAGCAAGACTTATTAATCTTTATGCATATGTAAAATGAACACATGTCAGTGACTTCGTTTAACTCTAATGATAAGGGATCTGGGAAGCTGGTGCAGTCAGTTCACAGAAGAATCTGAAAACGGGCACCCTGGCTAATACAGTACCTCCAATTTTAACTTTTGTTGTTATTTATTTATTTATTTATTTTCCGGTACCGGGAATCGAACTCAGGACCTTGTGCTTGCCAGGCAGGCGCTGTGCCACTGAGCTAAATCCCCAGCCCCAACTTTTATTTTTAAACTGGGGATTGAACTCAGGGACTCACCACCACTGAGCTACATCCTTAACTCTTTTATATTTTTTAAGATAGGGTCTTGCTAAGTTGCCCAGGTGGGGTTTAAACTTGTGATCCTCCTGCCTCAGCTTCCCTATGTGCTGAGGTTATGTATGAGCTACCGTGTGCAGCATTTCCACAGTTTTAAGTGTACAGTTCAGGGCATTAAGTATTTTTATAGTGTTATCCAGCCATCACCACTGTGCGTCTCTAGAATTTCTTCATTTCAAACTAAAACTCTGTACCCGTAAAAACAGTAGCTTGGGCCTGTGTTCTCTTTCAGTGTGGGCTCATCTTCACGCTGTAGGGTGCACTTCTTTTTGTACTTTTACTTGGCCCAAACCAGGGCTGCAGAGCCTATATTTTTTCCTGCCTTTAATACAATTTTGCTACCATTAAAAAACAAAAACAAAGAAACCGATAACTCCCCATTATTTCCCTCCCCAACCTCCTTATAATCCCCACAATACTCTCTGTCTCTGTCTCCATGGCTACAGCTACTGTGGCTTCCTCACAGTCCTTTTGTGTCGGGCATATTGCAGTAAACATAAGATTCATCCACGTTGTGGGACGTGTCAGAATTTCACTCCTTTTCAAAGCTGGATAATATTCCATTGTGTATGTATGCTAAATTTTATTTAGCCATTTTTCTTTTTAAGAAATATTTGGGCTATTTTCTCCACTTGGCTACTGTGAGTAATGCCGCTATGAACAAGAAAATGCTAACATCTTTTCAGTTCCTTGCTTTCAAGCTGGGAATATTAGCTCAGTGGTAGGGCGTTACCTAGTAAGTATGAGGCCCTGGGCTCAGTCTCCTGTACTGCAAACATACAAACAATTCCTTGCTTTCAGTTATTTTATATGTATATCCAGAAGTGAAAGTCCTGCCTCAGATAGTAATTCTATGTTTAATTTTTTGAGGAGCAACTGTATTGTTTTCTATAGTGAGTGCATAATTTTACAATGCCATCAAGAGTGCAGAAGGGTTCCAGTTGCTCTACATGAGCCAACGCTTGTTATTTTCAGATTTTTAATAGTAGCCATCTTAGTAAGTGTGAGGTGATATCTCATTATAATTTGCTTTCACCTAATGACTAATATTGAGCATGTGTTTGTGCGCTGTTTGGCTATTGGTGTATTTTCACTGGAGACATGTCTAACTAGATTCTTTGCCCATTTTAAAATTGGGTTGTACTACAGTTGGATCCTCAGTGTACCCCAAAGGCCCAGTGGAGAAGTCTTGTCTGCAGCCTATGGCACTACTGGGAAGTGGTGAAAACTTTGGAGGAAGAGTCTTGGGGAACAAAGCTAGAACATGAGTGCTTGTGCCCTAGAAGGGGATGTGCGGCCTCTGCACTCTTCCTTCTCTTGCTTTTTCATGGGGCTTCCGTCAGGTGAACAGGCCTCCTTAGCCATTCCCCCTCTGCGATGTACTATGTCATCGTAGGCCCAAAGCAACAGGGCCAAGTGACCACAGACTGAACCCTCTGCAATCATAAGTCAAAATAAACCTTTCTCCTTTAAGTTGATTGTCTCAGGTATTTTGTCACAGGGATGGAAAGCACAGGTTGTTTGA